ACCTCGTTGTTGGTGGTTTGTGATATTTATGATCCAGTCTAGTGCTATGTTAAAGAGTAATGGGGACAGAGGGCATCCTTGTCTTTCCTTTGTGTAGTACACACCATTTTGTACCTTTGTATAAAACTTTTATTAGTACTATTAATTTGGGTGGGATTACCGTTAGCTATAAAATGCGCTCTGTGGTCTAGTGAATCGAATGCTCGCTTGCTGTCTATGCACACCATACACATTGTGGCTCTTCATTCCATGCATTGCTCTGTTATTATTCTTAAACTATTAATGTAGTCGACGCATGATCTGTTCGCTCTGAAACCTGCCTGTTCCATCTGAATTTTGTTTCAATTTGGTCCATTATTCTTGTATTTATTATCTGAGCTATGATTTTATTATTTATATTGAGAAGTGTGTTGCCTTCGAATTACTACACCTCTGTAGACCGCCCCTCTTTGAGAGTTTTATAATTATTCCCTCCTTTCAATCTCAATCTTTTCCTTATTCGATACCCTCTTGAGTAATGGTTGAATTAGTTTAGTAATGTGTTGTGAATCTGCTATTTGGAATTCAGCCTTACTTTACTTTAATGTTCCTTCTCTCATTTATGAGATCCGATGTCTTGTCTGTAATCCACTCTTCCTTTGTTGTCCTCCCCTTTCCCAGCAACCTTTTCCCTGTCTCATTCCGTCCATCTTTCTACTTGAACTTCATTTCTAGCTTCATTCTAATGGTCAGAGTTTCCTTTGATGGTTCTCTTGAATTCTCGGAGTACAGATAGGTCTTCCAGTCTTTTCAGATTCTATTTACGCCTTGTTGCTTTGGTATTTTGATTTTACTGACCTTAACTATATTTGAATTACGCCAATCATTAGGTGGTGGTCACTTGCCATATCTGTCTCCTTCTTGTTAGAGCGAGAGTCGCCATTTTCGGTTTATCGTGATGTCGTCTATTTGATTTTCTGTTTTCTGGTCTGGTGATACACAAGAATCACCCATGACAATTAATGTGTTCCCTTTGCGTCCCCGCATAGGTCATGTTCCATTTCTTTAGAGAATTTCTTCCATTATGACTCTTTCAAGTTTATTTTATTGCTGTATTCACCTCACTTCTGATATTCATATACTATTAATCTTCGTTCATTGTTCTTACACCTATACCTTAAGTAAGCACGCGTCTGTACAGGGTGTCCCAATTTCGATGTCCGCATAGGCTATCTCCGAAACTAAAAGAGATAGAAAAAAGTAGCTTACATGTCATGATCTCGTTTTTCGAGAAAATGCTAATGCCGAAAACTCCGAACAGCTATCGTCTTTTGTTTTCGCCCTATCGGCAAAAACTGAAAATTTTGCGAAAACGACAATCGCGAATATCTCACTTATTATCAAAGATGGAGTATTATAAATAAAACATTATATGGGCAACTTTTTACGAAGAATTCAGTGGCGTAGGTAGAATTTTTTTCCCATCTTTTATTTTCGAGATTTTAGACGTAACTTTATTTTTTTAAATGGAAACCATAGTTGGCTATGACTTAAAATAATTTGTTATTTTCTTCTGATAACAAATATATATAGTTTGTGGGGTATATTTCTTATAGTTATTGAATAATTAACAAAAATTCATTTTGTTCCATCTAAATCTAATGTATGTATTTAAAAGTTAATGTTGCTATGGTGATAACCATACATACTATGATGGAATATAATGTATCAATTTTTTTTGTTCTTTCTAAAACTATTGTATGTATTTAAAACTTAATGTTGTTATGGTGATAACCATACCATGAGGGAAAGCATTGTTTCCAATTATTGCCAAAGTTTGTAGCAAGGACAGTAGAATCTAACAGGACTGCTACATCCATTGTATTTTTGTAGTCGACTACGGGTTGGTTGCCCGCACTCTACGTCACACTATTTGCCACGCCTGGTAACTGTCTATGTTTTTAGAGGTTATATGATAGACATTAATACGTCTAAAAACATAAAACTTCAAAAATAATATGAATACGTCTAGGATATAACCTCTAAAAATACACAGCAAACGCATAGACCATAACAACAGCTGGGCGTGGAAAATGGTGTGACGTAGTTTGCGGGTAGGTTGTCACAACAATGGATGTAGCAGTCCTGTTAGATTCTACTGTCCTTGAGTTTGTAGTAGTATTTAAAAATTCACTAACAACTCTGGCATTATGTGCTGGTGCTCCGTCATATTGAAAATATATCATTTGAGACATATTTAGTGGCAAATTGTCGACCAAAGGCTCAATGTGCTGCCTTAATATATTGAGGTATTTCCCTGAGTTTAAGTTTTTATGGTAGATACTATATGCCAAAATTCTATTATCTAAAAGGGCACACCATACATTGAACCCCAATCTTCTTTGAACACTCAGAGACTTCATCGGTCCAGATAACATTTTGAACAAACAGCAGATTATTTAATTTTTTTAAATATCATCTACAAAATTCTAATCTTCGATTGACATCTCCGGCACGTAAATAATGAGTTAGCCCCGCTTTGTATGGTTTATACTTATTTTTCTTTCATATTCGGGAGCAGCGGCTTTTGGGTCAGACGTCTTGTTGCAATTTCTCTTGCAGGTCATTTTGGTATGTTTTTGCATGTGGTTTGGGGAAGGACTAAATATCTATTAAATTTTCTGCTAACCGACTGAAGGTTCTTACGTGCGGTTATCTTCTTTCAGGATATCTTGTGAAATAGAATTCCGCGGCTAACGTCGCATTCTTATTTGATAACATATAGCATTCCATCATGTTAAATTTTTCATAATTTTCGAAATTCATTGTAAAGTTTTATTCAGTTTTGTTATAGTTTGACACTTAACATGCTAGTGCATCGTACCAGCACATAATGCCAGAGTTATTATCGAATTTTTAAATACAAGCTTTGGCAATTATTTCATACATTATGTTCCATCATAGTATGTATGGTTATCACCATAGCAACATTATCTTTTAAATACATACATTAGTTTTAGATAGAACAAAATGAATTTTTGTTAATTATTCAATAACTATAAGAAATATACCCCACAAACTATATATATTTGTTATCAAAAGAAAATAACAAATTATTTTAAGTCATAGCCAACTATGGTTTCCATTTAAAAAAATAAAGTTACGTCTAAAATCTCGAAAATAAAAGATGGGAAAAAAATTCTACCTACGCCACTGAATTCTTCGTAAAAAGTTGCCCATATAATGTTTTATTTATAATACTCCATCTTTGATAATAAGTGAGATATTTGCGAATGTCGTTTTCGCAAA